TGCCCCTGCCCTGGGGGTGCTGGGTGAGCAGGGCACCCCAACACGGGCTCCCTGCCCTGTAGCAGCCCGGGGCACCCCGGGAGGGAGGTGCAGGGCTCTGCAGGTCTGGGTGCTCACGCCGACCCCCCCGGGTGTGTCTGGCAGGGCACCTGGCTGGGCTCCTGGCATCAGGCACCACCTGCACCAACATCTACCAAGGCTTCTCAGGCTGCGTGCTCAAGCTGGGGGAGAACATGGCCACGTACGAGGAGGGGGAGGGCACGGAGCCGCAGGAGTTGCACCGGGTCTGTGGGTGAGTACAGCCCCACGGGACCCCCTGCCTGGCCCACCCCGCGGGGGGCAGTCCCTGGAGGAGGGTGGGCTGAGGGGGTTGGTTACCTGTGGTGCGTGGCCAGCCTGGCTTTTTGGCATTGACCCTGTGCCAGGTGTTGAACTCTCCTCTCTCCTGCCCTCCTGGACCCTGTGGATGCACACACAGACACACACACACACACTCCCCACCTTGGTCCCATTTCAGACAGACCTGGTGAGCTCCCTGCATCCATCCATCCCTCTGCTGCATGGTTCTGCCTGGAGTTTGCATCCCCTGTGTTTTAGCCACAGCTCCAGCCTCCAAGGCTGGTCCTGTGACTCTCTGCATCCCTGGAGCAGGGCTGGTGGGACCTGACCCCTTGTGCCCTGCAGAAAAGGCTTCCCTGGACACCTGTGTTTCAGTCACTCACTTGCATGTGGCCAAGGTGTCCCAAGGTCTAGTCCTGCTGGAAGTGCCTGCACTTGGCCTTGAGCTGGATCCTCCTGCCCAGACCAAACTCTCTTCCTCCTTCCCTGCTGAGACACTTTGTCCTTTGGGCTTGAATTATCCCCATCCCTGGTTTTGGGGGTTTTTTTTTGTAAGTTTGTAGCAGCTGCCCCAAGATGGTGGTGTTGAGAGGACATGAACTTCAGGGGAACTGAAGTAATAGTGAAAGAGCTGGGTAACAAGGGGTGGTGCTGGGCAGGTTTGGGGAAAGACCTGCTTAAAAAGCAAATGAACAGAAGCAGAGAGGTGGAGGGGCAAGTGAAGGGTGGAAATAAGATGCTTGCAAAAATAAATGGAGGCAGCTCTGTGTCCCCAGCAGTGAGCTGTGGGGAATGGAAAGGAGGAAATACAGACAGAAATGAGGGGAAAATCAGAGTACCTTGGGGTGGTGGAAACCTGCCAGGGCAAGGAGGGCTGAGTGCCCTGCAGGCCAGGATTTCCAAGCTGCTGAAAACCACCTCAAGGGCTGGGAGGGGAAGACCTTGCCCTTACTGATGGGGTGGAGGCTCTGGGACCTGCTCTATGGTGCCAGCACAGCTGGTTGACATCTGGCAGGGCTGGGAGACAGCCAGGACAAGGAGCTGCTGCTGAGGCAAGTAGGGGGTCCCTGACCTTCTTGCCTGCCCCAGCTGAAATACCTAACTTTGGTTGTTGTCAGAAGTGGAAAACACTTTGACAAAGCTCTTCTGCTCAAAAAGAATGGAAAAGTAACTACCCCCATTTATAACAAATTGGTGTTGTCCATTTCCTTGTCAGCAAACACAGCTGGGAGGCTATGTGACCTGCTCTGTCCTCCCCTTCTCCAGGCAGCAGCCTAGCTCAGGATGACAGTCCTCTGGGATGTGGCTGAAGGCTGGGATAAAGTGGGAACTGCTGTGCTTGGGGCTGTAATATATACTTTTTTTTTTCTTAACATGTGGCATCTTGGTGTTAGAAAGCAACTGAGCGTGCAGCCCAGCATGTGCTGTGGTTGACTGTTGGGGGGGTGATTCCTCTGCTGAAACTCATGTGAAATGTGTGAGATGAGGCTTTTTACAGGCTCCAGGGCACTGATCATCACAGGTCCTGGGATTTTCCCAGCTGGCAAGGCTGGGGCTCTGCACTTTCTGAGACATGCCAGCTTCTCCTGCCCATCCTGGTGCATGGTCAGCTGCATTTGCTGTGGCTGGAGGAAAATGTTGAAGATGTCCCAGCATCCTGACAGAAAATATTTCTGAATAGTTGGCCTTTAACCCTCGGCCTTTTCCTCTGCTGTCTGCATTGCTGGTGCTGTGATCTCCTCTTTGGGAGTGTGGGTGAGGGACAGACAGACACAGAGCTGGGGCCAGCATGGGGCTGGTGGCATCTTGGCCCCATGTGTGGTGCTGCCCTGCAGGTGGCCTGGGCAAGTCACTTGACAGTGTCCTGCCTGGCTGGAGCAGATGGAGGCTGTGAAGGGTGAAACACTGGGAATTGCCATCCTGGCTGAAAGCAGAAGCAGGCAGGAGCTGTCATCCCCCTCACCTTCCCCCAGCCATCTTCTGCCTGAAGACATGGGCCAGGTTTAGCTACTGCTGCAGCTCTGGGGCAAGCACAGGAGGTTACTTGTGTTGGCACCAGCTTTTCTCATTATCTGGGGACATTTATTCTGCCAGAATGACTCGGTTTAATGAACTCCCTCACAGCTGGGCTTCTGACGTAAGCACTGAGAGGAAAAGAAAGTAAAGGAGAGTGCCTGGGTTCATGTGTCTGCACAAGGTGTTGCCTCCAGCACAGGACACTTGGACAAAGCCCAGCTGTCCCCTTCCTGTGCACAGGGTCCCTGCTTAGCTGGCTGGGCTGCATCTCCTTCCTGAGGGGTGGCACATGTGCCTGCTGTCCTGCTGGGATGTGGGAGGTGGCAGAGCAATTGCTCCTGTCCTCTAGGCAAATGCACTACAGGGTCATCCCATGTGGTGCTGGACTGGTGGGGTGATGTCCACTGCACCCCTGTTGGGAGATTTTCCTGGGGCTGTGGTTTTCAGCTCTGTGTCTGCTGGGATTTTTCTAGCCCTGGAAAATAACAAAAACCAAACAAACAAAAAAAACCAAACACCAAACCTACAACAAAACAAAAACACCCCCCCAAAAACCCCCAAACCCCAAGTTGCCATGCCCAGGGAAGGCAGCCAGGGAGTCTTGAGCAAGCAGCTCCTGGCTTGTTACCACAGGGCTGTGGGTTATCTTTCCTTGTCATTTTGGTTTTTCTTGCTTCTCCCCAAGAGCCTTTTTCCACTGAATGGCTGCTGCTTATTCAGGGTAATACCCAAAATATAGATGGAGATGAGTCTAACCAGGGCATACTGAATAACTCCCCCTGCCCATACCTTAGTTTTAAAGCTGTGACCATCTGTGGGAGTTGTTGTCCTTCTCCTTGCTTTGTGCTTGTGTTTTGCCCTTGACTCAGCTTGGAGGAAGCTGTGAATGAAGCAGGCTGGGCCTTTGTTCCCAGCTCATTTTAAATACTTGGGGTGCTTGGTGCCAAAGGGGAGCACTTGTGGATGGAAGATAATGGATTTTATTGACTTCTGGAGGAAGAAAGAAAGAAAAAAGTCATGAAATATTTTCAGTGTGTTTTGATGTTTGGAGTTTTAGCTGAGATGCTCTGGGAGATGATGGAGGGGATGACAAAACACAAAAGGTTGTTGCTGCTGGAAGGATGAGCTGGGGCAGCAAAGGCTCTGCCCAGCTCCTTGGTGCTGTGCTGCTGCAAAGGGCCTGATGGTGCGTGTCTCCCTGCCTGCAGGTACTGGGATGAGTTCCACACGTGTGCCCTGGCAGTGCTCTGGGAGTGCCAGAAAGAAGCAGTGGCCATCTGGGAGTTGCTGAGACTGGAATCAAGAAAGATCAAATTTCCAGGCAGCTTGTTCGACCTCTGCAGCCCCAGCACGGCCCAAAGCTTTGCCTGGACCCACCTTCCCAACATTTCCACCCTTGGTATCCCCCTTGTCATCACTTGGCTGAATTTATAAACTGCAGGTGTGTGAGGATGGCACGGAGGTGGTGGCAGCAGCAGCGTGTGTTGGGGCATCCTTCTGAGCTGTTTTCCAAATGGAAAATCCTCTGAGGAATGCACTGTGCTCAGTGAACACTTGGCTCCCTCCTGCACCTGGAAGATGCAGAAGAACTTGGCAGCTTCTCCTGGGTTTTGCTGTTTCTTTGTCATTTGGGATAACACCTGTGCCCTTCTGCCTCGAGGCACCAATCTGGCCGGCCTCAGAGTTTGGGAACTTGTAGATACGGGGCAGAGGAACTGGGGGGAAATGAGAAATTGGTTGACAACACTGGATTCTTTTGCACTCTTCTGTGGCTCCTGGAAGGAAACCTGTTTGCTTTGCTGACTCTTTCCACCAGATCAACTCTCCAGATTTCTTATTTGGGCACTGAAAACAAGATGGGCATTTCTGCCACTGGTATCTGTGAGGTGCAGGGGACGGTGTCTGGCCTCTCAAAGGAGTCCCTACAGCTCTGTACTGGCCTTTTTTCTTTGAGGACATGTTGAAGCCCCTGCTGGGGAATAATCACGGGTGTATGAGCTCTTCTCCTGCACACATCTGAATTCCCAAGTCACTCTTGTGTTATGTGTAAATCCCTTTTTTAAGAAAATAGAAGTGAGGGAAATATCTGGGGCGAGAGGGAGTGTCAAGTTAGCCGGACAGAAAGTATTTATAACAACTCCTTTGCTGCAAAGCTTTCCCCAGGGAACCTGCAAGCAGCTCTGTAGGTGGCTGTGTGTAATTCCAGAGCATTAAAGTTTGTTTAGAGCCTACAGTGTGGCAGCAGTTATTTGTCCTGGCTCTTGTTGGGCAGCATAGACTCTTCCTGTCTCCTTTGCAGCTGAGGGCACTGTCAGTGTCTCAGCTTCAGTACAAGCAGCAGTGTTTGCAACAGAGAGGTGCTTGCAAGTCATTTCTGGCTATGTTGGAAAAAAAGGAACAGTATTTTTGGGCAGCAGCAGGCAGTTCTGTGGTTTAGGAAGGCTGGTGAAGCAGTGCCCTGCCTGACCATGCAGGGTTGTAGGAGCCAGAGCCCCAGCGTGGGTCTGTAACCTGTTCCTGGGAGGGTCTCAGGGCAGTTCCTCAATAAGAGGAAGCAGGGACAGTCCCACTGGGACTTTTGCTGCTTCCAGTGTGTTCCCCACGTGGTGCTGCCTCTCTGGAATGGGGAAATAGCTGGTCTTCATGCTCTGAACTAGGACTCAAGAGCTGGATGTAATGGGGAACTCCATGTTCTAATTATGGGACTCAGATGTTTCATGGGATGTGAAATGTCCACGTTGAACTATCAGGGTATTTCAGCTTCACTTCCCTAGATGTGTCTCTCACACGTCACTTGAGCTGTTTTCATAGATTGTTTGGCCTCTTCCCACTGGCTTCATGGTCAGCAGGAGCAGGCACTGCTGACAGTGAAGGTTAGTCCTGTGCAGAGCTCCTCGTGGTCCTCAGGAATGCTGAAGGAAGCCCTGGCACTGGTGCTCTGAGGGCTGCCTGGTGTGGGTGCAGGCACAGCTCTAGATACCACCAGAAGTACATGGCCAGGAGGTTCTGAAACTGTCCCCAAAGCTGATGAAACTGTCCCCAACAGTTCTGAAACAGTCCCCCACTGTTCCACACGTGCTTGGAAGTGTGAGCAGCAGATCTGGGGCCCTGATAGCCCTGGAGATCCCAATGGATGCATTACAGGCCTGTGGGCAAGCTTCTCCTACAGCAAAAGATCTTTTCACCAACAGTGGTGTTGGGGTTTAACTGCTCTCCATTTTTTTGTGTTCTTCATCTTGCCTTCCCCATCACTTAACACTCTGCTCCTGCAGCAGCAGGAGAATATGAATAAATTGAGCCAAATTCCAAGATATAACTTGGGGAAGAGCAGCTGGGGTACAGACCTTCAGTGAGAGGCACCTGAGCTTTCTGCAGGCAGCAGAGTTGTTCCTTGTGAATTGGGTATCTCAGACACAGAACCTTAAGGTAAGTCATGGAGAGAGGGTAAACCCAGAGCACTGCAGAACCTGGAGTGAACCACTCTGCTGCTTTGGTTTTAATTCTTATTCTGCTCCCACAGCAGTGTATGCTGTTTGATCCTGTTCCCCTCTCCCCCTGTAAGCCCTTCTGCCTGTGGTTTGTAGCTGAGGACACCTGAAGCAGGTGGGTATCATGTACAACCAGGGCTGGAGTCCTTTGGATCCAAATCCTGTACCTGCCCTTTGTTTAGAAACTGTTTCTAGCATGCAAATAAGCACAGCTCCCCCAAAATCCCACACCCCTCTTTGCTTCTCTTTGGATTTAGCAACTTTTCCTGTTCAACTTTTCTAGTTTTAAACAGCTTTGGGGAATGTAAAAGCCCCAGCAGAGACCTCCAAGAAGTCTTCTCTTTGTAAACACCATGGATGTACATGGCTGACACTGCCACTGTCTCCAAGGAGAGCAGGTGTTGGGGCAAATCTTCCCTGGAAGCAAATCCCTCAACTATTGCACAGAAAAAAAACAAAGATTCATTAAGAAACAAAGACCATCTGCCATCGTTCTGGTATGGAGCAGCAGATTGATTTATTATTTTTTTTTAAAGCCAAAGGTGCTCCTGAATCTGACTGAAAGCTTGTGAGTGGAAAATTAGGTCTCACAGTATGGGAGTGATGAGTTTCAGAGGCTCCCTCCTCAGTATCTTGTTTTTAGCAGAATTTCCCCCATGGCTAGGACAGTTACAGTAGATTTCCTTCAAAGAAAAAAAGGGCAATGTACAAATTCAGCTCTCAAAGGCAAAGTCAGAAGACTCTGAGAAAGCATTTCTAGTCCAGCAGGCTTCGTGCTGATGCAGTGCAGCTCCTTGGATGTCCCACAGCCTCAGTGTTAAATCCACAGTTGTCCAGGATTCTTCCCATGGCCCTCCTCCTTCCCAGACACTCCACCCCCAGCCATGGAGGCTGCTACAGAAGTCACAGGAGAGCTCAGGAAGCCAGGAGGTAAGTGCCCCTTGGTCCAGCATTTTCATCCCTCTTCTGCCAGGGGAACAGGGAGCACCTCTTTCATTCTGTCTCACGGCACCTCTGGGATCAGCTGCCATTCTCCTTTAAGGAACGGGAGGGATGTGGCTTTTCCTCTGCTCTCCACCTTCACTCATTAGCCTTACTTGCCCTAAAGCTGCTCCTGAAGAACAGAGGAGTCCACACGGAGCTCTGGTGTGATGTGAAACCTGCAAGCTTTCCCTGAGCAGGGCTGGGATGTTCTTTCTCAGTAACAGCAACAAAAAGCAGGAGAGGACAAAATGACCCCAAGAGTCCCAAGCCAGGACTGACACCCAGCCCCGTGTTTGTCAGCCCCGAGGCAGAGCGTGGCTCTGAGCCTGATCCCAGCTCGTCTCTAAAGGAGATACTGGCACCTACTGGATGACCAGTTTATATCTGGGCTGGAGGAAAGGCCAAGTAACCTTATACATGAGGAACGAGCAGATTTTGAGAAGGGATGAACTTGTTTGCTGACTGAGGGGTGGAGCTGGAGGGGAAGCCCTAGGAAGTGACCTCTGGGTGGCCCTCCAGCCACCCTTGGCTCCTGCCCAGGAAAAAAGAACCCTGTGTAAACTCTTCCCTCTGAAAGGGCTGCTGTTCTAACCCTGTCCTTCAAGGGGGGTGGTCAGGAAGAGCTGGCAAAACCTCAGACTATTAAGAGGTTCTGCCTAAATACGTGTAGCCAGCAACCCTCCTCCGTGGCAGAGCTGCCATGTGTTTAGCCCATCAGGATGTTCTCCTGCCTCCACTTAAAGATTGTTTGAATAGGAGAGCAGGAAATGAAATGCAGCTCCCCCAGTGACAGAAGAGCACCTTCAAAGAGTTTATCAGTGTCTGCATCTCCAGTCATCCCAGCACTTGCCAACAAACTGAATTACCAAATGATTTAATGCAAATTATCACTTAGAAATATTAACACACAAAGGAAAGTTACTGCACCAAGATGCTACACAGGAAAAAAAAAATCTCTCTTTAGAACTTGCTCTGCCTTCCCTTGGGGTGGCACAAACTAGTCATCCTCAGTGGAAACCAGGCCACAGGCCCTCTTCCTTGGGCTGCAGGATCTGGGAGAACCACCTGGCTATGGCCTCAGCAGCAAGATGTTGTCCCTGCCTGCCCACAGGTGTTTATTTGAAGTGCCTCTCAATAAAAGAACATCCTCTTCTCTTGAGGAACAAGCAGCAGGCTTCTCATGTCACTGAGCATCACCTCTCCCAGACCAGATCTGTCACTAGACTTCTGAAGGCTGATGGGAACACCCAGACAAGTGGGAAGAGCAGCATGGCTCCAGGACACCTTGGCAGGCTTTCCCAGCTCAGCTCCAGCCTCAAGCTGGACACGTGGAGACCCTGGATTGCTGACACTCCCTCTGAAGAGAGGATTACGCTGCCTGACTTCCCCAGCCAGCACTCACTGCTGCCTTCACTTAAGAGCAGAGGTATGAAATATTTACTGTAGGAAATGGTGTCCTGGACAGTGGGCAACTTGCAGCCACGTGTTCTCTGGCTGAATCCTCCTGTTGCCATGATACAGGCACTCGTGGTACTTCCTGAAGTGCTCAGCTTCCCAGGAGAACCATAACACACTCACAGCAACATCTTTTTATTATTACAAAAGATTTCTTCAGCAAACTGCTGACATCTCTATGTATTAAACATGGAAACAGCAAACAAACCCATCTAACATTATAGGTTATTTAGGATCCCAGCTGGTGATTCAGGTAAGTACAACTTTCTCCCCATCCATTCACTTCCTTGACTTTTTCTTCCAAGCAAAGCCCAGACAAGTTACAGATGAGAAGCAGCAGCTCCAAGCCCCACTGCTCACTCTGCTGCTCTTCTCCTGCAGGAAGAGCCAACCACTGCATCACCCACACAGGAGAGTTTTGCTCAATTCCACAGGCTCCTCACACATCGCACTTTGCTGCCTGGCTTTTCACAGTCTCATCAGTGAAGAGTTTAAGAGCACCCACTCCAAACAGTCATATTAAATGCTTTGTATTAACAAAATAAACATCTGCTCCTCCCCTCTTGCTGACTGATGCCAGAGGAGACACTCACACTCATGCAGTCCCCAAGGTCAGGAAAAAAAACAGTCTGGACAGACCTGCTGTGCTTCTTCAGTGACCATTCTCAGGCATATCAGATGCATTTGTGCTGGAAACAATGACAAAATGCAGCATGTTGTTGCCAGAGTGAGTCTATACGTTGGATTTGGGGGCAGAATTGAGGGGGATTTCCCTGAGTTCTATCCTCATGCAGAGGTACTCCCCGATGGCAGCCATCAGTGCTGTGCAGACAATGTGCACCAGCCACCACGTCAGGGTGGAGGGGAAGTGGGAGTTGTAAATCCAGCAGCCCAGGAGGTGGAAGAAGTGAACTGTGACTGTGAAATCCAGGCACTGCTTTCCTCGCCGGATGAAGTACAGCAAAGCCAGGGCACTGCCAAGAAGAAAGGGATTAGTAAACAAACCCTGCTGTGCCCCTGGGAAATGGGGATGCAGTTAAGAGCTATGAGCTGCTGCTGCTAATGATTTAGCTACTTTAGAACTTCATTGTTTTAAGGATAGGTTGTTTCTGACCTTGGTCCCAGCTGCTTACAGATTTCTAATCGCCTGATGGCAGGAAAATGAGCTTTGAGTTTACAAATCCCTGCCCTGCTGCTCTGCACAAATCTCCCCCAGTAACCTTTGCCCAGTGGCCAAACACATTTTTGCTTACAGATCAATGTTTGCTGAGACCCATTCATCTGAACCTTCAGTAAAACCTCTCCCCAGAAGCAAATCCCATTCCAGGTGGGAAACTGAGGCAGTGAAATTACTTCTCCAGGCTCTCAGGGAGTCAAGAGTCAGCGGTTCCCAGCTGCAGACATGCTCAGTCAGGGCTCTGGGGAGGGGTCTGGGGAGAGGCAGTGGGTCCTGCTGAGTTCTTTGAAGCGCCTCACGTTAGCAAAGCAGAAGGGCAGGCAGCTGCTGACTTACCAGGTGAGTGCATTGAGGATGAAGGCCATCATGGAGAGCCTCCCGGGCAGGGTCGAGAAGCCTAAAATCTGCAGGGGATCGTTAGCAGGAAACCATGGCACCAAAGCACAGCCC